AAAATCCTAAGGACCTTTTAAAAAATGCACATGCAAGCTAGCATTGATGAGTTGCAATACAGTTACTATAAGCAACCTTTACATATCTCATGATGTTGGCACAGTGGCACGTTGTGCTGTGGTTTGTACAAACAGGTGATTTTCTGAACGGAATTGATATAGTCTAACATCATGGCTCAGATCTGGATTAATAGGCTCTGCTGTTTGATGCCTAAGTTAGCCTCCTTAAATAACTGCTGTGTGGACATAACTCTGAACATACTGATGTCAATTTGGGTATAAGACTGGAAACAGTAGCTCTGCAGTTCTTGTTTGTTGTCCATCAGAATACTTGCTTTGTTTTTCTTTTTTTTTTTTTTTTTCCCTCCTGGAGTGTTGTATGCTTCTGATGATAATTTTTTATTAAAAAGACTAGCACTAGTGAAAACTTGGGGGTGTAGTGATACTCCATAGGAAAACTTGTTAAGATTAAATTGTAGAAAGCTTTTTGTTAACTTGACGCTCCAGTAGAAGACAGGAAATGTGAGAGAGGCTGAAAACTGGCATTCTACAGGATGGCAAATCCTGATTCAGACCTCTCTAATCAGCCTAGGTATCCAAAAGTGCAACTGAGTTTGCTACTCCTGGCTCTTGCTGTCTGTTTCTCCATAGGTTTGTGTTGTAGTGTCAGCTGCCATGTCAAAGCCACTGTAGCAGGCTCACCTTGGGTGCCAGTGACACTTTACATTGGGGGGGTGTTTATGCAGAGCTAGGTCTAATTAAAGATGTAAAACGTTGTATGAATTATAGGAATAGCTACCTTGAGCTGTTAAAGTAGCTTTTTCTGTTTGTATAAAAGGTCCAGAGAATAAAACCTGAGATGTGTACATTCAGTAATCCTCATTAAACACTTTGAAATCTGAAAGTACAGGTAATACTGCACGCAATTGTCCTCTTTAGCAAAAGTGTGTGCTTTGAATGTTGTTTGTTGCTATTTGGGTGGGAGAAGAGCAAGAAATTCAGAAATGTACTGGTAGCAATAGCTAGTGATAGATGACTGCATTGCTTTCCTTCATGGAAACATGCTTTGTCTGCCCCACTGGCAGCTCTGTGTGTGAGGTTTCCTTTTGTTGTGGCCCTCAGGTTCATATCAACTGCACAAACGCTGTTACTTCAGTTTTACTCTGAGGAACTGGAAGTACCAGTTTCAACCTTAAAATTTACCAAGAAACATTGCAAAGTTCTCTTTTTTTTTTTTTAAACATAGGGCACTGGTGACATCTCTAATAGAATGGGGAGTGGTGTTGGCCATTTTTGGGCCCCTGAGAAGTCACAAGTGAATAGGTACAGCTGCAAACAGGCGATTTACTGTATTGGCCAACAGCAGGACGCAAAATAGTTGTTTTCCATCTCAAATTCAGTAACACAGTGCAATTCTTTGCTTAAACACAGGCCTTGTCTTCTCTTTTCCAAGCATGTGAACTGGCTGACCGTCTCATTGACTAGCACTGGGATAATTATGACATACCATGAGGAGAGCGCATCATAAAAGCTGCTTTTCTTTAAAAGGATTTGTTGTTAAAAAGATTGTGTGGTGTCTGACCAGAATAAGAAATGCTGCTGCTTAGCATGTTTCTGAAGAAGTTGACCTCTCTGAGACAAGTTCTGCACAGGAAATGCCTGCAGAACAGCAGGGGGGAGTTATCATGGCAGATCTGTGATATCTTACAGTAATCAAAGAGAACAAGGGATTTCCATGTAAAGAAGGCTTCCAAAAGTTGTACTTAAAGCTCTTGGCTTTTGCTTCAGATAGATAACTTGCCTATTGCTGTCCCTCTCCTCCCCCTCATACCACTGCCTGCTGCTGTGTGTTTGATGCTGGTCAGCCTTCCTAGGCTGTTCTAGCCTCTTGCTAGAGTGCAGGACCATGTGAATTCTACTAAAACTTTACCAATAACATGGACAATATTAGAGCCTTAGTGTTTTGGGCAGCCTTCACTGATCTGAGCTGTTCAGACTCAGTCAAGTAAACAAATGTAGATCCAGATGATAGTGTGAGTTGTTGGTAGACAGCCTTGTGCTGTTGAGTATAGTTACTTGCCCTACCGTAACTGGTTCCTACAGATCAAAGATGACAGCATACACAGGGAGTTAATAACTCTCTCTCTGTGATGGAATTCTTGAAAGGTGGACTCTGGTTTTAGTGAAGAATTATGAGGGAAGTTGAGATTGCTCTTACCTATGAGGTACGAGGAAAGCATACGTGAAAAGCTCCAACAAGTAAACCAAGACTCCTGCTTTCACAGACGTGCTTGCTAGAATTGGAGTATGAGTGGATAGCATGGTTTCCCTAACACTTCTCAAGGAGATAACCATTTCTCTTTGCAAGAGGAGGAGAGTGTTTTGCTGTACTTGACAAGAATCCAGGTCTGTTTTGGAAGAAACACATACCTTTTCCCTGCAGTAGAAGCTGGTTCTGTATTTGAATGGCAAAGCAGAGATGATAGAAGCACATGTGGACTCTTACAGCTAGGACTGAACTTACTGGCTTTTAGGAAGCCTTAATTGGTGGCCAGTTGTGACTTCATGTCTGCTTTGCTAATTGTTGTAGTGAGACTTTTACTTTCTGTCGACTTGAATTCTTGGGTCACATTTGTCTGCCAAAAGCTTCGTGTGAAGACAGGTCAGGTCTGCCTCCAGTGGGACTGGGATGTTTAGACTGCCTGTGAGTTTGAAGACATTCCCTGTTAAAAATGTAGTGAAGGTGACTGACCTGGGAGTTGTATGAAGGAGAACAGCTGAAAGACATATTCCTCTTACTGAGCCCTGTGCTGCAGAGGGGCTGTCAAGTGCCACTCCCGTTTTTCCCCTGCCAGTTTGCAAGAGACTTCTTTGGATAAAAGATGAGAAAGATTGCCTTGTCTTATTTTCGCAGGGTTGTCTTCATCTTGTCTCCAAAGACTAAACACCTGTCCAAGTTAGTCTTCCTTTTCCTTTCAGTTCTCTGCTCCTATCTGACCTGGAAGAATACATCTAATTCAAACTAGTTGTCTTAAAAGAACTACCTGGAATGAAAATATCCAAGTAACAGTACACTTCTGGTTTTATGTTTTTTAGCACTCCCATTGTTGGCATAAACTAGATGCTGTAGAACCTGCCAGATCAGACCTTGGAAATACTAACAACTCACTACATGAAAGATAACAAGAATCCCTGTCTGACTTTCTAGACAAAGCAGTATCACAGTGGGTGTTGTATCAGGTGGTTCTTAGACTGGTACATATTCATATGCAGACTTAAACTTGAAGGCCCTGAATGTACAGTAAAGCCTTAAATTACATTTTTGCCCACTTTATCAGGCCTCTGTTTCTGAAGATTAAAGATGTTTTTGGCTAGAGCATTCCCTGGCTATCTAGTCTGAAACAGCTCAGGTTCTGAAATGGGGACCAGTTCCTCAGACCAGGGTGAGGGAAAGGTGTGTTGTAAAGTCTATCTAAAATGCTGTATTTAAAAATAAATACTCATGGCTATTTCCATGTCTTTCAGTATGTAATGTGGAAAATAAAGGTGAGTTTGAGTTACGTTCTCAGCTTGTCAACTTGTTGAGCTGTAGTCATGTTTTGTGTGTTTAGCTGTCTTGTGTATGTTGCTTAACACTCTAGAAATAAAGATACTGTAGCCTGCGAAGCTTATGAAAAAAGTAAATGATTGATGCTACAGTCACGCAATCACAGGATGGTTGAGATTGCAAGGGATTTCTGGAGGTCCTGTCCAACCCCTCTGCTCAAGCAGGAATGCCTAGAGCTTGTTGCCCAGGACTGTGTGTTATACAGCTTTTGAATATCTCCAAGGATGGAGACTCTACAACCTCCCTGGGAAACCTGTGCCAGTGCTCAGTCACCCTTACAGTGAAAAAGGGTTTCCTGATGTTCAGAGGGAACGTCCTGTGTTTGGATTTGTGCCCATTGCCTCTGGGGGCATCACTGGAAAGAGGATGGCTCTGTCCTCTTTGTACCCTCACGTCAGGTATTTGTATATTAGTAAGATCCCCTTAGAGCTCTGTCTTATTAGGCTAAATACCTTCACATACCATAATTTTGTTCTAGAATTTTGTAACTAATAAACTAGTACATCTAACCTCTTGGAGGTTCACAGCCTCATCTGCATGTTAATGCTGATTCACTGTATGACACAGATGGTAAAAAGATTCAGTTAACTGAAGCTGTTGAACCTTTCCCTTTGGGAACTGTGATACTTCAGATTTGCCTGCTATTTATCCTGTTTGGCTTTATGTCCTTTTCTGTAATGTTCTGTGAAACTGGGAGCAGCTTGGGAAGGATTTTTTAGGGAAACAATTCTTCCTTTGAGGGAAGAGGAGACCTGTTCCTTCCAGATAAATTCGGCATATTTGTAGAATACTACTACAGAAGGTTTTTAAAATACTAGAATTACAAAGTTCTATTAGAAAGAATTTGGTGTCTATCCAAGGTGTGAGTAACTATATGAATGCTTTTTAATGATAACCATCTAATGTTTGTTTTTTCTTTTAAAACTGATTAACTTTGTGTACTGTTGGGGGTATTTCTGTGCAGCTCGGATGCATAGATGATACTCCATACAGTGTCACTTCTTACTAGCAGCAGAACCATCACACAACAGTCTGAACCATTCTGATGGACAAAACAAACTGGGTTCTTTGTGTGTAGGAAGACATGAGTGAATTTCTGTGTGAGCCTTGTCTGAGTTCATACTAGCGACTTTCTGGAACTGCACAGGGAATTTAGTCCTGTGGTGCTGGTGCATGGTACACTGAAGGCATAAACTCTGTGTAAAAAATTTGTTTAAAAAGTCAGTTTTCAGGCTGTGATGTATGAAATGTAGGTGAAGGCCTAGAAAAAAAAACAAGAGTTGTCACTTTATGAGTTCACCTGAAGGATAGTGACATATAAGCAGCAGTCCTCTGATGTATTTCTAACTGGTTTGCTTGAGTCCTAAGTGTGTTGTCTTTTTTTTCTCCCCAGCTGAGTATTGAACAGGCCCAGGCTGTGGCAGAGCAGGTTGAGATGAAGGCGAAGGTGGTACAGTCTGAAGTCAAAGCAGTGACTACTAGACATAAGAAAGCCTTGGAAGAGCGGGAGTGTGAGCTGCTCTGGAAGGTATGCACCTTACATTTCTAGTTTGAACTGCCTTTTCAAATTGAAAATGTGCTTTTTAACTAGTACATGGCCAGATTCTGATATTCTCCCAAAGAACACTGAATTGAAACACTCAAGTTTACTGTGAACTCATCTTTCTGTAAATAGCAGGATGCTGGATTCTGGCCCTTGTTGGTTTTGTGCTGAAGGTATCTCTTAATCTGAGAAACGGTTGGGGTTTTGGAGGAACTGCTGTGTGCTGGCTGAAGCTTAGCCCCATGGCTGGGGCAGGCACTCCCCCTGCCGGCCCCAAGGCCCTGACTCCCATCACAGCACTGACTGGAGAAGAGGTTGCCTTTAAGCACCTTGTTTAAAGACTGCCTTTAAAACCTCTTTAAGACCTTGCTGTATCAGGTGTATAGCATAGGGTTTTCTTAAGTGATCTGCTTCTCATAAACAAAGGAGCAAATCTGTATGTGCTGTGTCTAAGAAAGGTCTTGGAAAGGCTAGTAGAAATTCTGCAAGACTTAGCTTTCATTGTCCCAACATCTAAAAACTTAACTTACTCTCAGTCAAGGTAGTGTCCCTCTGATTTTTATTTTATTAGTAGAAGAAAAGAATACTCCCTGGCAAAGAGTATCTGCCACAATGCCAGACTTTCTTGCACTTGGTTTCAGTCATGGTGTATGTGTGGTATTTTGAGAGAAGAAAAGGAAGTAACAGCAAAGTTTCTTATTATGAAAAGGTAGTTTAGTGGTCATAGCTTTTCTCTGCTTGTTTATTTAGCGCAGGTTAGTTTGAATTGGCCCTTGGGGTCCCACCTGTAGAATTTAACAGAAACCCATGCTCTGCTGTTGAATGAGGATTTTTAGATCAGTGAGTCAAACTGACTAGCCGTGTGCCCACATGATTGTTGTTACTGGTATAGGGGAGCAAAAATGTGTGGTCAAGATGGGGAAAACTTAGGAGTGAATTGAGAATACCTGGTGCAGTTACATATTATAGGAGCGAAGAGTGTCAGTAGAGCAGGTGCTGTGTGGCCACTGCCTATAGTAGCAGAACCAGGTGGGATGTGGTTGGTGAGGCACGTGCTGCCAAGAAGTAGTGCCATCCTGCTAAAGTACTTCTCCCCTGCCTCTTCTCCATCAGCATTGATTGGAATAGTAATGTTCTGGTTTAATATCAGTTGCCAGCAAAATGACCACCACTCTGGTAAGAGCTTTTTGTATGGAGCTAGTTAGTCTAGCTACAGTGAGACTTAATCCCTTAAAAGGGAAGTTTGATTTTCTGTAGTTTTTATAAGTGTCAGTGGCAAGATAAAAAAATGCACTTTGTGTAGTTACTGTACATCTGATGGTGCTTTTCCTGAGGTATTTGGGTTGAGGGAGATTATTTCAGTTTCCCCAGTTAGCCTTCCCCAAGAAGCTTCTCTTTTGAAGTATTCCTAGTACAGGAGAAGAACTGCCCCTAAAATACTTGTATCCCAAGAGACTACATACATGCACTAGAGAATGTCTGCACTGTGAGAGCAAGTTCTCTTCAGGTTATAAAACATTATTTTAAGAAGGAAACTGGGTGGTGGTGGTAAATAATTCTAGCAAAAAAAAAAATCTGAGTGTATTAAGCCCTCATGTGAAATGTGTTAGGGAATAATTTTGGGTGCCAGAGCTGAGGCTAATAGACTAAGGTGAGACCTAAGATTATTAATCTCTTTTTGGAAATCTGTTGGAGGAGGCATCTCTGACTTTTTTTTTTTTTAAGAGTCTGGTAAAACCTGCATACCCTAACTTTAAATGAAATAGCATGTTTGTACATCTGTTATCTAGTCAGTGTATAACCAAGGAGTCTTCAGACAGTGAGCTGTACCTCATTAAAATACATTGGTGGTACTGTTCTGCAGCCAAGCAGGTACTCAGACATATGGAAATGTATTTTTGCAACAATAAAGCAATTACATGTTTCGTTGGTTTTACAAGGCAGGTGTCTTTGCCAGATGGTCTAAAGTGATTTTTCACAAGTAAAGATAAACACAGGGTTTTATAAAATAGTGACAAACAAACCATTTTCTCTTGAGCTTCAGCCCCCCCCCCAGCAGGGATTGCCAGTGACCTTCTCTGTCATTTGAAGAGACATTGTAAAGCATACTGTTGTAAAGCACTAGCTCAGCATGACTGCCAATATTTGCAAGAAAATATTGAAATAATTGGACCCTAAAAATCCCTGGAGATGTCTGGTATTATCCAGTCACATGAGAGCAGTTTTGGCAGGCAGGGGAATGACAAGAGCCCATGTGCATTAGCTGATGCTGACTCCTAGCCTCAGCTTTGTGTGATAACAGCCTACCTTCTGAAACTGGTCTCAGTTCGGGTTAGAGATGCCTCAGCCTCTGCTCCTTCAGCCTGTGGTAACTTGTGTCCTCTCTGGAGTCTTTTAAGATGTACTTTCAGATGATCTGCCACGTACCTTGCAATTAGAAAACAGAATAGCATTTGAGGAAGCAAATCATTATTAGTAAGCAAGTGACTCTTCCTTTCAAATGCCGTTGTGGTGCAGCAGATCTGCAGAATTAAGAGTGTATGATTTTAGCTGGAGGATAGGAGGGAATAACAATCCTGAATTTGGATAAATAAGTACTTTTCCTCATTTCTGCTTCTCTGCATCATGGCTTTTAGAGGCTTGTTTTCCAGTGTCAACATGCACAAGTGTGTTTTTTATGTAGAAGAGCAACATTAGGAAATGTTTCTGTGTTACAGGTTGTCTTTCCTGATGTAAATGTGCTTTTCTCTCTGTCTTGTCCCCCCCCCAAGGTGGAAAAGATTCGTCAAGTCAAGGCTAAGTCACTCTACATGCAAGTTGAAAAGTTACGTCAGAACCTAAATAAGCTGGACAACACCATTAGTGCTGTTCAGCAGGTCCTGGAGGAGGGTCGTACCATGGATATTCTTCTGGCTCGGGACCGCATGCTGTCTCAGGTGCAGGAGCTGAAGAATGTGAGAGGCCTTCTCCAGCCACAAGAAGATGACAGGATCATGTTCACCCCCCCTGACCAGGCACTGTATATGGCCATTAAATCAATGGGCTTTGTCAGCAGTGGGGCTTTTGCTCCTTTGACTAAAGCCACTGGGGAAGGCCTGAAGCGTGCGCTGCAGGGAAAAGTGGCCTCTTTCACAGTGATAGGTTATGACCATGACGGTGAGCCTCGCCTTTCAGGAGGTGACATGATCTCTGCAGTGGTGATGGGCCCGGATGGAAACCTTTTCGGGGCCGATGTCAGTGATCAGCAGAATGGGACCTACCTGGTCAGCTACCGCCCACAGCTAGAGGGAGAGCATCTGGTTTCCGTGATGATGTGCAACCAACACATTGAGAATAGCCCCTTCAAAGTTGTGGTGAAATCTGGCCGCAGCTACATAGGCATTGGGCTGCCGGGGCTCTCCTTTGGCAGCGAGGGAGACAGCGACGGCAAACTCTGCCGCCCCTGGGGGGTTAGTGTAGACAAAGAAGGCTACATCATTGTTGCTGACCGCAGTAACAACCGCATCCAGGTGTTCAAACCGTGCGGGACCTTCCATCACAAGTTTGGCACACTGGGCTCCCGGCCGGGCCAGTTTGATCGTCCTGCTGGCGTGGCCTGTGACATCTCCCGTAGGATCGTTGTGGCTGACAAGGACAATCATCGCATCCAGATCTTCACGTTTGAGGGGCAGTTCATTCTGAAGTTTGGGGAGAAAGGAACAAAGAATGGGCAATTCAATTACCCGTGGGATGTGGCCGTCAACACAGAGGGCAAGATCCTGGTCTCTGACACAAGGAACCATCGTGTTCAGCTGTTTGGGCCCGACGGTGTGTTTCTGAATAAGTATGGCTTCGAAGGGGCACTCTGGAAGCACTTTGATTCCCCCAGAGGTGTGACTTTCAATCACGAGGGCCACTTGGTAGTGACAGACTTCAACAACCATCGCCTTCTGGTCATCCATCCAGATTGCCAGTCAGCACGCTTTCTGGGCTCAGAGGGCACCGGGAATGGCCAGTTCCTGCGCCCGCAGGGAGTGGCGGTGGATCAGGAGGGGCGCATCATCGTGGCTGATTCCAGGAACCACCGGGTGCAGATATTTGAGTCAAATGGTAGCTTTTTATGCAAGTTCGGCACTCAGGGAAGCGGCTTTGGTCAGATGGACCGTCCTTCAGGTATAGCCGTCACCCCTGATGGCATGATTGTTGTGGTCGACTTTGGAAACAATCGAATTCTCGTCTTCTAATCTGTGTTTGAATTAGGAAGAAACTGTCTCAGGGAAATTCTTCTAAGAGAAAATGAAAAAATACAACGTTAATTCAAACCTACCTCATCTTTAATTTTTTTACAGATGAATGTACTTATCTTTTCTGCAGGGAGTGAGCCTGTAAAGTTAAATTCTATCTACCTCATTGTCCTCCCTTCCCTCCCCGGTTTCTCGCCCCCTCCCCATCCCCACACACTCACAGTTCAGAACGTTTTACCTCTCCCCCCCGTTGGGGTTTCATGCACAAACAAGTGTTGCTGTGCACATTAGGTGGTTTGTGTGGCGAGTTCTGTAGACTAAGCCAAAAAAAGGCTCTGTAACTTTTTTTTTAATGGAGAAAATGGTAGTAGGTGTTTGTAGAGAATTTGTGTTCTTGACCATACTGCAGTTCTGTGGGTGGGGACATGGGAGGGGGGACTTCTGTTTTTTGAATTGCTGCTGCAGCAGAGAACTTTTTCCTGTTCTCCTTTTTATACCTCAGTGTGTTTGATTTACTGGTGAGCACAGTGTCTTGTTCCCAGACGACTTTTTGTGAAAGTGAGTGGAATTCACTCGCCGGGAAGAGCAAGTTTGCATCTTTTTGGCATTTCTGTGTATTTTTTTCTGAAACACAGTAATCCAACAGCACAAAGTGAAGCTGATGAAAATGCACAAAAATTCTTTAAGTTTAAACCAAATTGTTCATTTTAGTGGCTTAGTGCGGTTGTTGTAAAGTTTAGATAAAAAGCAAGGCTTCTTTTAATGTATCCTGTCATTGAGTATTTCTTTTTACCCTTTTCACCTGAAAGCTAAATTAGTTAAAAAAAGTTAATGTTTCTTTTATCAGTGCGCCTAATCTGGATAACAGAAGAGGATACAAGGAGCATTGAAACAGGGGAAAATCAAACACTTCTGATTTACTTTCTTGTGAATGACTAGCTTCTTTTTGCCCCTCCCCATAGAGAGACTTTAAGGGAATAGTGTTTGTTTGATGGATTTGTTAGAATGGAAGTGGTACCTTTTTTCCAAAAGTAAGAAATAAGCACAGCTTTGGAGATTCAGGGTGCGTTTTGGAGAAGTCAACAGGTTGTTTTTTTCTGTTTAAAGAGAATTGCAATAACTATCAGTAACAAAAAATACTTTTTTTTTTTAAATCTTCCGGCTTCCCCAGAGAGCTGGACTGAAAAATTGAGGAAGGTCTACTGTAGTGTTTAGGATGGGGTGGGCCTGTAGTTCCATGTATCTGTTACTACAGATCCAAGCGAAAAGTTACCAGTACCAGCATAAGGCAAACTGCATCAAGATGAAGCTTTGCTGCTTTTTTCCAGGTCAGTACCAAAGAATTCTGTGTAAAATATAAATTTATATGATCCTTAAAAGCTTGGAGGCAGGGGGAAGTTAACCCTTTTGGGGATATAAAAACAGCTTTTCTGAGAGGAAAAAAAAAATTGGGGGAGAATAGAGAACAAAAATGTGACTTTGAGTCCCTGGAAGTATTTGGTTTAATTCTTCAATTTTTTGCGTTCCAGTTTAGCTATTAATGCAGGTATGGTCTCTACAGAGCTGTTGTTTCACCCTCTGGCTAAGGGTGGCAAACAAGAGTGGTTAAAGTAGGGTATGGAAGGCTTTTCTGTCTCTGCAATGGAAAAATTCATGTATCAGTACTCCTAGTCATGTAAATGCCATGGGATTAACCTTACTGTTTGCAAGAGAAGATCTCTGAAACATAAATATGGTTGTTACCAAAAAGTCTGAAGAGCCTTAACCATCCTCCAAAGAAAGAGTTCATCTCTCTGCCAGCCATCACGCACAAAAGTGACCTGAGATCGAAAGGCTCTTTACAAGTTTGTGAGAAATCACAAGGTGCACTTTCCTTCTTGCTGCTTTTCCCCTCCAAGGAGTGTTAACCTTCTGGGTTTTGTAGAAGTCCTGATGTGTGCAGACAGATAGCTGCCACTTCAGGAGGCTTAAACTATAGGACCAGAAAGAGACAGACAGATTTATGAGATGACAAAACCTCCTTTGAAAGAAGGGTGAGGAAAAACACCTAAATTAAATAAGACAAAATAACTGTGCTGCCTTTCAGCCAAAGCCTCAAGGAAGCAAACTCTTCAAAGCAGTGTGTTTCAGTTAGGCTTAATCTTGGGATAGCATGGTTTAAAAATAGCCTTTAAAGGATAATCTTTTATACAGATGTCTGTCATTAAATTTCTGTGGCCACTCAAAAAATGGGTATAGAGAAAGCTAGTTTACCTTCAACTTTTTCAAGTTTTGCTTGCCTCTTCTTCATGCCTCCCTTCTTGGGGGTGGCCTACAGTTGTGACAGATGTCCATGTTTGTCTTGTATTATTCAGTCTAAGAATTATTTGCAGCTTGGGCTGTGAAAACTAATAGCCTGCAAGATCTAGATACCAAAGAAAACTGGTTTAAAAGCTTTAATTTTAGTTTGCAGTGTCTTTGCATTTATCCTATCATGTCTTAATAAAAATGCCAGGTCTCTTTAATACCTTGACCAGAGTGGCTGACAGTGTTGGAGTATGCTAGAAATGCTCTTGTGCTTTAATGCTTGTTGGGTTCCCCCTTCTCTGGGACTGGAAGGGAGTTGTTTTTCAGGCATTAAAAAAAGTTAGGTGTGCATTTCAGGATTGTGTTGAACTGCAGAAACCTCTTTGGCCCTCTCCAGCCTGCATCATGTAGGTGACGGACACCGAAGTTGCCCGTTGTTTGTTTGGAGCCATTGCACAAACCCTGAGTCCAGCTCTGTCAGGAAGAGGAATGACTTCAACTCAGTTTCTAAGTTGCTGTCATTTTAATTCAGTGGGATTTGCTTACAAACCAAACCTCAAGTGTTTGACCTCATGTGTTGGGGAGCTTTTTCGTTTTAAAAACACTACTATCTAGCTACCCAAAAGAATTCCTTATCTTTGTAATAGATAGTGCTAAGCACACTTGGTTCTTACTGAAGAGTGGTAGTGTAGCTTATAAAATGGGAGTGGTTTATATGCAATGAAAATAACGTAGCGATAACATACAATGCCAACATCAGATGCCCCATAGGGGCTTTTAAAAAGTAATAAATGAGATTCAAACCTTGCTCTGTTTTTCCATGTGTGTTCTCAGGCTATGCATGTTCTCAGGTTAGTGCCCCAGTATCATAACATACGTGCATGCAGAGAGAAAAAATAAGGCTTTGAAGCCGGATTGCAAACTGAACAAGCATTCAGAGTAATCTTCTTAACCACTAGTGGAAATGGCCTGGAGAAAGGTGAGGTGAGCGTGTACCTCTTTCTCTTAGCTCTGACTGGGGAACAACAGATGTGAGGTACAGACCTATCTACTAAAACTCCCAAAGGAATTTCACTATGCCAGGTTAAACCAGTGGCTCTCTGAACTTTTTGCTTGACAAAACGTTAACTGGCAGTGTGGGTTTTTTTTTTGCGTTCAGCCTATGAAGAAATCTTGTTCTTTCCCAGAACTACTTAAGCAGGAACTTCGGTAGCAAACCAGAGCAGACTCAATACTTGATAATGCAGGTCCTTCAGATAATTCACTCCTTTTTATTTAGTACCTTTTAAATACAACTTATTTCAGGAAGCCCATAAACCTTAAACTTGTAAAGAAAGCAAGGGAAGGATGACAAGACCTGGAAACTAATGCCTGCTGGGGCCAGACGTAACCAAGTTGGGAGAAAAAAGAACAGCAGGGCACTTGGATGTGGCATTCCCTTGGAATTGCAGGAAAATGGGCCCAGTCTGTTACATTGCAGTTAAACCAAAATTAATTTCTGAAGAGAGCAGGTTTATAGGCTTATGCCATAACTCTGATCGTAACATTTCTTTGTTCAGTTCTGGTTTTAAAAAAATATTGTGCCAAAGTGTTGTGGTTTTTTGTTGGGTTTTGTTTTTTGTTTTTTGTTTTTGTTTTGTTTTTTTAAAAGGAGTGTAAGCCAAATGGTGCCAAAAGGTAATAGGGTATTTAAAGATAGAGATATTTAGACAAACAGTTTGGAGCTGTATAAAAAATGAACACTGGTACTTGCGTTAGACAAATATTGTACCTTTGGTCTTTGAGTCCTTGGGAGTTTGAAACCCAGTTTGCTGTGGTACAAAATGCACAACTAGAGATGCCACTATCTTTTTCTTGAAGTTCTACCTCACTTTGCAGAAGTAAATCATCTACCTCAATTCAGCATCAGACAGGTTTGAGAAATAATTGAGAATCTGCCTGGGGGAAGGATTCATGCTGCCTGTTGGACAAGCATTTTAACTGAAACAGAGATACTAAGTGTGTACTATGTGGTGACTTCTTGCTTTTGTTTTCTTTTGCTGCCTGCCCATGGAAATATTAAGCTGCCCTTGCTAGAGAATCTGTAAATAAAACCGTTTGTATGTTCAGGCAAACCGGACCGAGATACCTGAAACACTTTTGAGATACGAAGTATGGAAATTTAAACTTCTTTCAGTATTATGACACTACTAGCTGACATGACATACTTCATGTTCATTTGCAGTGTTCTTATGTCTGTAAGACCTTTAGGTCTGCTCTCTGCAAGAGAAAAACTTTTACGCATGCCTACAATTCTGTCCTGTTTGGAAAGACTAATGTTATGGTTGCTGTAAACACAATGCTATACCAAATGCTTGAAGGGAATAAGGTCCTGATTTTTTTTTTGACTTGGTGATTGTATTAGTAACTTTCTTGACTCAATGGGATTTTTTCCACCATGACAAAGCAACTAAGTTCCTATTCCTGGAGGGCAGTTTAAGTTCAGACATTCTCAGGAGAGGCAGTTTAAAACCAGTATGTTGGGGTTTTATGCAACTTGAGCAGTGACATGCAACATGCCCCTTGTTTTACCTGTGGAGTAAAGTTGCAGAAGCACATTCTCAGATTACTATATTGAAAACAACTTTTTGCTTCCCTGTTTACATTAGGGGATGACAGAAGTGGGTACAGGAGACCCCTAATAACAATAGGCTGTGTTGGGTTTGGTAAATGTTATGGTGGAAAATGTACATTGATGTCTCTAAGTGATCTTACGGGTTAACGAGCCAGACTGGCATCTTTTTCCATCATTGTTTAACCAATAATGGTTCTAAAAATGCTTTGTGTACCTGCATGGTCTTAGACCTTCTATTAATGATTGTATCAACTTGCAAACTCAGGTAGATAATTTTTTAAGCTCTTTTCGTAGAGCCTTACTGACTGAATGTTAAGTGTCTGTGTAGTGATGTAGTTAAGTAACTTCCTTTTGAACTACCAGACTAGTTTAAAAAAATAAAAAGTCCTTTTATAGGTTTGTAGAGTACTTTCCAGACAATGTAGTAGTTTTTCCTTCAGAGGGAGAGATGTCTGTTTCTGGGTTTTTAGTTTCTT